GAAAGTGGTTAAATAAGTGATATAGTGGGGCGAAAAGTGTGGAAGTATTCTTTTTGAGGTAAGCAGATGTAGGACTACTTTTATATTTTAAGTGCGTAATCACTTAGCGCTTGGATTGTATTTTTATATTCTCCACTTCCAAACTTTCATTTGGCTCATATATTGTTGTCATATTTCTTATTGTTTCAGACTTGTTACTGATTAATATTTTTCCTATTACTCCGGTTTTTATCACTTATGATTAAGTTAGGTGTATACTGTAATTTTCTAATTGTGTTGCTCTGCGATCAGACACTTCAGGTATATGGGTCACGATTAGATTAGAGTACTATGGATAATTGGTTTATTCTCTATCTTCGTCTTCCGACTGAACGCTGGGTTAGAAGGAGCTCGAGGGCCAATCGGCATGAAGGTCTTGGTTGCTCTTCACTGATCAGAATGTTGTTTTGTAACTAGGAGATAACAGGTCCTAGGTGAACTAATCGATAATTGAACTAGAGAAACGGAGAATACAACCGGTATTGTAATTAAGGCCAATATAGTTCAATTAATTGTCCTTCATTTCCCCGTAACGTCAATGAAATATGAGTATCTTTGTAAGTTAGGAGATAGGGTAGAATTTCCTGTACTTCAGATTTCCTTCCGTATAGATACATGGTTTGGATAATTTTGCTACATAGTTTGTTCTGTTGTTCTTCCTATCACAATACATCGTTCAGTCATTTTGGTTGTAGTTAAAGGTTAGTCCAGAAACGATCACATTAACTAGGTGGGTGGGGGATTAGAACAAGCTTTGTAATGCCTAATTCGATTATGCCTAATTGGGCTAAATTTCCGCGGTCTGCCTATGTCAAGCATAAACACACTATTCCAATGACTCGTAAAGACGATGGGAGAAATCACTTGACTGAAATACAATCATAGTGATAAAATTTGTCCATCAATTGTGCTTTGAAGGTGAGAAATAGAGTTTGTGTATAAATATATCGATGAATAAGATGGTTTTGTTTTGTTTAGTAAATGAGTAAAATATATTCAAAATTATCAATATTATAAATATGTTTTAGCCTGTAAGTAACTCAGATTGAATGTTATGCATAAATTATCATATGAATGTATGATTAAGTAGTTTTAGAGTACCACAAAGTGAATATTAAGGAAGCCGATTAGTTCAACAAAGAACATATGATTATTAGTGTTAATCCAATCAGTGACTGAGTAATTACGAATATTGCACTGTCTAGTTCTAGAAGGTTACTTGTTGCTACTTATTATTAATATATGTTTACAATCTTCAATGGAATTGACGCTTACTTGAAAATATAGGCCAAGTTTAATGTTCAGGCTTCATCTATTACTAGTAAAGTTGAATTACGGAACTTTTTTTGAAAGCTGTGATAAAAAGACAACATTTTGATTAACATGGAAACAGATTCACTTCTGCAAGAATCCTTAGATACTACTAGAAACGAAAATTATTGAATGGTGATGTAAAAATAATTTAAGTATAAGAGATATCGTGTTAAAGGACATGAGAATCTGTCGATACTACAGTGACATATATATGTAGTTTTAGATTTAAATCAACTGTAGATTAATTAATTAATCTGATATAAATTATTTTAGGTAGATAACGAACACTGAATAATCTACAAGTTAGTGAATGATTTCAAGTTTTTCAGCTTTTGAGCTATAAAAACGAAAGAAGAAAAAGGCACTTGGAGTTTCATTTATGGACCATTGGATTTTAATCCATTAGCCTAGTTGTATCATAATAGCCACGAGAGATGAAAGTAAAAATTCTGGTCTGAATCAGGTCGTGGGTGATCACTGTTATGGGTTTCAAAAATTTATACAAAGAACTTTGTTTTTTAATAAATCTCCAGCTGTTATTACTGAGTAATAAAGAGTAACGTTAACGTGAATCATTTCTACGAGTTCTCGTAAAAGACCGAATAATGAGAGAACCTATAAACGATAACGTTAATTAACAAAAGCGAATTACGATCAGGATAAAACTAATAAAACAAGGATAGCTTCATTATTTATAACATTCTCAAAGTAATTAAATATCTAAAGTACTATTTACCTTGATGATCTATGTTCGGAGCTGCAAGAAAAAAAATGGCCTCAATTTATGAGGTCAGTTTCTTTTTAACTGAGTCTTGCTAGAAAGTGTAGGTTTGAGGTCAACAGAATATTCGTAATCAGTGTTTTCAGACTTTGTTAATATGACTCAAAATTAGTGGTAGCTGTGTATATATAGTGTGATTCTTCATCTTTCTGAGTGTTAATACCATCTCATAAATTGTATTCTTTGTTTTAGTGAGGTTGGATTGTAGCTGAAAAGTGGAAGTTGGGAGTCGTATTTTCTCTTATTCGAAACTCTTGTGCTGGTTGTATCTGCATCCTACCTTTGATGTACACGCCGAGATTCGACCTCAGTTCATACCGCTTCAAAGCCTAACTTGTTATTCACAAAGCTAGTGAATCTAGCTTTATTAGGCTTGTGAATAAATGGGAATTGTAGGGCGATTCTATGAGGATGCACATATGCCAGAGATTAACCAATTTTTATCTTTAACATTAACAGCAGAAAATAAAAATCCTCATAAATATAGTAAATTTCACTCTTTACATTAGTACTTTCTTCTTGAACTACATTTTTTAGATTTAACTTCTTACTGCAACCGATATTATTTTTATTGTTCTCGATTGTTTTAATATATTCTCAATAGTAAAATAGAGGTGTGGAAAATTGCGGATATATACACATATATATTTATACCAGGGTCAACATTATCTATGATGGACTAATGTACTAATTGTAAGTACCTCATAAGTATGGTTTATCTTGAGTCTTAATCTGCAACACCTCTTCAATATTCAAGTTACTTTCATTTTGAACTAATATTATTTAATGAGCATTTGAAACCAAAGAATACTAAACAGTTATTTAGTCTGAATTTAGAACTTATTTGTAACGCTCTCTATACGAGATGAAAACTAACATTTGCAAGTTTCAAAGTGGCAACAACAGTTTTAACATTATTGACATGATATTTCATGTTCAGTGCTTTCATTTTCAGTCAATAAGCGGTATAGTGGCGTCATCATCACACTTTATTTTAAGGTGATTATTAATAAAACTTTGGAATAATGAGTAATTCAGGAATGTACAATTAAGATGTTTACTTTAGTTAGGTAACAATCATGATAATAAATCCCTCTTCATTTGGTTTGATTAGAAATTTGTTTGATTTTCCATTGTACCATAGTAAGGAGAGAATTATCGTATTAATCTACGTCTCAAGAATAGATTTATTCTTTATGATCAGTTAGCTAATAATGGATTAGTGGATGTTTAGGCAAAATGTTTTGTAAAAAAAATTCATTTAATGATCCATTCACGTGTCAGGTTAAACAACATATTGATAAGCTATCCAACTATATTAAGATTAGAGAATTCGAATTTTAATTTGAGTGAATTTGAATTGGGTTTCAATGAGTTGGAAACATGTAGATTATCCAAAGGCATTACTCAATGCAGTTGGTGAGGAATATTCAGCATCATTGTTTTCAATGTTTAAAGTCTATATTTTCACATTATTCTCGTATATATAGTCTTTTGGTATTTTTAGGCACAATATAACTAGTGTAATAGAACTAGCCATTTATTAATTAAAATATGATTTCAAATGTCATTCAATTATACAAAGTATAATAAGACTATTTCAGTAAGAAAATTTAAAGTAAATGTTTGTTCAATGGTACTTTTAAAAGATAAATGTGCTTTACACATAGTATTCTGTAAATTTTTATAAAGCCTACTTGATAAATATGAACCTCATAAAAATTACTGAGTTTTATTATAGTTTAGTTCAACTGTACGAGTGCAATTTTGGTTTTTTAATCATTTTCTGAAAAATATTGACGAAACTTCATTGATTTATTTTACAGCTTCAGTAAAAATATTATGGTTCTTTCAGGATATTTTATTATGTTCTAAACATATCAATAGTAAAATAGTTGCCTAGGAAGCTAAGATTCATGAAATCGATTTATAAATTTTCAGTTTCTTTTGACAAAGCGCTAGTAAATCTTATTGTTGAGTACTAGGATACGTGAAATGTATCTAATTTCATGCTCATCTATAGAATACATATAACTAACCAACTCCATGAACATAACACAGGTTTTGCTGGTGGACTAAGTCGGTTGATTTCATGATTAACAAAGTTAAATCAACGATAAATATCATAAAATAACCTCGTTTGATAATAAATAATCTATTCGTGTGGCATTCCATATCTAAACGCTTTATAATAATTTAAACAGAATGTTGGGAAATCATCAACTGATTAATAGTGAAAGGTTAACCAATCTCTCTTCTAGTACAATAGTTTTCAATCTGACCCTGTCCATAAAATATTTGAAAGAATTATCAGTCAAATGAGATGTTTTACATTTCAAGTACTTTCTTTCAGTCATTCTTATCACTCAACAAGTCACATAAAATCGATTTTATAATAAGTATTTTATTTTATTACTCGAAGATAGTAACAAGAATTTCTTTCTTCTATTACTTATTAATTTGATCAAATCTTCGTCAATCAGTTTATGAGAGAGAATAATATTACTCACGAGCATTGAATATAAATTATTTACCAATTGATAGTTTGTATACTCGGTTTTAAGACGTGAGGGATACTCATATTATCTAGATGCCGATCGAACATCTAGAGAATCAGAGTTATAACCTCAAAGCTGAACGTTGAAATCTGAGTGTTTCAGCCATTAGAGTGCCACACTACTTATTACAACGTAAGTGCTTATACGTGACTGATAGTTGTTAAATAGGATGAAACTGAAGTTTGGAATTTCATTTCTACTAATGATAATATTGTATTGGGATAACATCCTTTGGTCAAAAATTACGATTGATGGTGAAATATCAATAATAATAATAATAATGATAATAATAAATCAGAACTAATACTGTCTTAATGAATTTGCAAAGTTTTGGTAATTATTCACTTTTCATGTCTATAAGTCCTTTCAGCTGCTTCACTCAATTGCACATCCAAACGTGCATTTGCTGTACTAATCTCAGCTAATTGTATTTGCAATGGATGCAAAGTTTTAGCCATTTCTTTTAATGTTGATCCAACATCAATCAAAATATAGGCAATAAATATTAATAAAAAAGTGATAATACCAGGCAAAGCAATGATAAAACATAGAATTCCAGCACGTTTGATGAGTGAAGTTTTTTTTATATATTCACTTATTGTCTTGCCTAATATTCTTTGAATTATTTGTATCATAAGTAGTTCAGATCTGTCTTCTTTAGTGCATGCTATGTGTAGCCAATCACTTCCATTTATCGGGTGTGTATCACTATCAGGATCGATTGGTATACTGTGTTGAAATGGACATGGTAAACAACTTGATTGACCATATTCCTCCGAATATGTGTTATGTGGACATGGAAGACATTTGATTAGATCATAATCACTAGTGGTAAATTGAGATCTGATGTATCCATCCGTGAATATTATTTGGTTAGCAGTAGAAGGCAAGAGTTCTTCATCAATTGATGGCGGTGGTGGATCGATAATACGACTTGGGTAATACGACCCCGGTGAGCATAGATCTGTTTTTGTTTACATCGAATGGCGAAAGTGAAAAAAAGCAATTACGTAACATTGGTGCAAAGCAAATTTAAATTCAATTTCTAAATGAACAGAGAAAGTTATACACATTGAGTACTATTACCTCATAATCCCACAGTTGATGGAATTCACAGATCAGCAATGATTTACAGTTTAATACTGAAATAAAACGACATAGTCTGAAAAAAATTCAACAAGTATTGTTTGACCCTAATTACCTCAGTGGTAACGTCTCTGACTGCGACACTGAATGACATGGGTTTACATTCCGAGCGGCATTGTAGATATGTTTTTCTTATGGATGAAATTTAGCACAGTAGGAAAGATCCAGGGTTTTCTAATGCTTGCCTTCAGCCACAGAACCTTTCATAAGTTCTATCCAAAAGTTGGATTATTAGTGAACAAATAGGTTGATTTTTTAGCCACCTTCAAAGTAAACAATTTGATTCTGGAAAGCTAAAGATATTGAATAAGAAATTCATTATCTATTATCGGCAAGATGTTTATTTGAAGATTTTTCCTAGGTTTAAGATCTGTGAACTATGATTTGGTAATATGAAGTCAATCTAATGCTTGTTTATTTATTTATTTATTTGAACACATGAATATTGGTACAAGAGAGCGCCAATATATATGCGCCACACAAAACAATGAGAATTCGAAGAGAAGTAGAAAAAAAAACTAAGGAGCGCAAAAGAAAAAGAGAACAATGACGAAGAGATTGGAGTAAGGTAGTGTGGTAGTAACGACGGAACGAAAAGGTACAATCAGAAGAAATCTTTCAGGTAAAGGAGACACAACCACTTTTTATGAAGAAAGTAAAAGAAGGTTACAGCAGGATCGCCACTGGCTTCTATTCTGAGCCATATCTGATAACGTCTCTAGCCACTGTGTAGCACCATCTCTCGGACCCCAACCAGGGAGTCGTGAAGGACCAACACAAGCCAGTCCTTTGCAGCTTTCTTTCATGCCACGACACCATGTCATGCACTGACCACCTCTCCGCTTTCTCCAACCAGTCCCAGAGTCGGCAAATAATGCACGACGTGGAATTCTCTGGGACGACATTCGGAGAACATGTCCAAGCCACCGAAGTCGGTGTTTCAAGATGGTGACACCAATTGAATTATCATCTCTGTGCCCGAACACACGATGCCGAACCTCTGCATTACTGACATGGTGTTGCCACTGAATGTCAGCAATCCTTCGGAGACAGCGATGATCGAACACAGAGAGTCGTCTAACGTCCTCAACTCGGAGAGGCCAGGTTTCACAAGCATAGAGCAAAACTGCTCTCACCGACGCGTTGTAGATCCGACCTTTTACAGCCAGACTAACATCACGAAGGCGCCAAAGGTGGCCCAGATTGGCATAAGCCGCTCTGGCTTTCACTATTCGTGCATTGATCTCATCACTCACACCCCCACCAGCACTTATGCAGCTACCCAGATACACGAACTTCTCAACTACGTCTATCTGCTCACCGTCCAGGGTGAGTACAGGATTAGAATCCTGCCAGTCTTGTAGAAGTACTTTGCACTTCGAAGGTGCAAAGCACATACCATACCTACGGACACTGATTGCCAACTGATTAAGTGCGGATTGCATGCCTTGGGCATTATCGCACAGTAAGACAATATCGTCCGCATACTCAAGGTCGAGAAGTCTTTCTCCAGGCAACAGATCCACACCACCATTACTTACATTCATCAGAGCTGTTTCCAGAATGTCATCGATGGCAAAGTTGAAGAGGAATGGTGAGATTGGGCAACCCTGCCTAACCCCACTGCTCGAATGGAACAATGGAGAGAGGTGGTTGTATGCCCTCACTCTGCCTGAGGTGTTTTTATATAGGGCTTTCAGGATGTTAATAAACTTCTCAGGCACACCCTTCTTCAATAGACAATCCCAGAGAACAGTCCTGTCCAACGAATCGAAGGCAGCCCTGATGTCAAGAAACACTACGATTGTTGGCCTTTGAAAAGTATGGCGGTGTTCTAACATTTGGCGGAGGGTGAAGATATGATCAATACATCCTCGACCAGAACGAAACCCAGCCTGCTCCTCGCGAGTCAATCTTTCTCGGGTTTTGAACAACCTACGAAGAATGACGGAAGCCAATAGCTTGGACGCAATCGGAAGTAAACTTATCCCCCGATAGTTGTTACAAGAACGACGTGAACCCTTTTTAAAGATAGGGACAACTATCGACTCATTCCATGACGTTGGTACACACTCTAGTTCCCAAACCTTTGTAAACAACGTCGTCAATTCCTTAGTCAAAAAGTCACCACCATCTTTAAAAAGAGCCGGAGGTAAGTCATCTGGGCCAGGTGATTTGTAACGCTTCAAGAGTTGGAGTTCCTTGCGGACTTCCTCCTCATTTGGTGCAAAGTTGCAGTAGACGGTCCCCGTTATCTGACCTGCGACCAACGAGTCCCCATCGGCCACCTAAACGACTCTCTTCTGTGCCTAGACGCCCGACCTGAGCATTCAAGTCTCCGGCTAGTACTACAATATCTGTCGAACGCACTTTCTGGAGAAGAACTGATAACTGGTGGTAAAACTCATCCTTGATTGCATCCGGGCTGCAATCTGTCGGGGCATAGGCGGAGATGACGAAAAGACATCGTTTCTCACGCCGATTTCTTCTCACTTTGATGGAACTTTCTAATCTAACAGCACATAACCAAGTGTTAATGGGGATCCAATCGACTAGTGCTGCCTCAGCTCTAGCGCTTAGTGCGACACCAACGCCAGCAAGACCAGACGAAGATGCCACAGGATCCCTGGATAAGCGCACGTAAAACAAGCTTTTCGAAGCGACAGATGGAGAGCGAATTTGTAGTACTTCGCCAGAGTCATGAATACGGGTCTCGGATAGACAACACACGTCGATATTAAGACTTTCCAAAGACATAGCCAGCCCTATCTGTTGTCCGACCTGCATAAATGTGCGAACGTTGAAGGCAGCCAGTTTGAATGGTGCACGTGGTTTCAGAAAATCTGCTTCAGTCCTCGTATTCGGTGGTAACATACAATTTTCAACCGGACAGTGACTCGAGAACGTTTAGATACAGTCGAATTTCCACCAAAGACGAGCCGCTGTATAAGTATAAAAGAGGGTGAATAATGTGGAAAATAATAATAATAATAATAATAATAATAATAATAATGACAATAATACTAGTAATAATAATAACAGTATTAATAATGACAATAATTGTAATGATAATAATCTGAATCAATTGTTTGTTTTTCAAAGCAAGAAAGGTAATTTCCGTAGGCATAAAGAGTTCATCAATTTGTGTGTGGGCTGTGGTACTGCCCGGGTGCCCAAACCGAAGCAGGTGGTTATCTTAGGGGGCCACTCCCCGAGCCTTTGACCTAAAGGTCTAACCCACAAGGCAGTGGAGCATCGTAAGGAGATGCAGTCCCATGGTAGCCGGTGACCAACGATTGGTTCATACGCCGTTTGTTCCCGCAGGATACTGGAGCCCATGTGCACCATTGATTTGGAATCCGGTTAAAGCGCCGGACATTCGCTTTTCGTCCTCTCATTTTCGTAGACAACACCCCCGCCACGAGAAGGCAATGAGTAGGACTTCCCTGGCAGAGGCTGTATACGCGTGGCCGTGTGAGAGTATTTCGAGAGGGAGAGCGGACTCTCCCCACTCTCGGCCGTACCAGGGCATTCAGGGGACATAATTTTACTTGTTGCTGAATATATCATTTCAGAATATTAAAACAAGCATTATGCATTTGATACACAGTAAGTAGATATGGATATTAATCCATAAAAAAATGAGGAAGACAAGTTTGAAAGATTTCTGCTGACTTCCTTTAATTGACCGTTCACAGTTTTGCACCTTTTGCTGACTTTTATTTTGTTAATCAGGTTAATTCAGATTAAACCTTGAAACCTGAAATATTTTAGTAAGTTTAACTTTGAATTACAGTATTTCCTGATAAAAAAGTATGTCATCAGTAGTTATATGAATTTTAGAAATTGTGATTATGTTAGCATTTAGTTAGCTATGGAATTAGAGTTGAGTTATAAGAAACAACATCTAGTATGATTACGTAAAAGTATAATACAGGCCATTACATATTTTGAGTCGTACAAACTGATAAATCTAACATATGATAGGCATTACGTTGGCATTTCATTTTTCGATCCAATAAAATGTTTCTGTAAAAGTCCGAAACAAATTGAAGATTGTTTTGCTGATGTACTGAGTTATCGCGAGGAACATTAAGGAAATCATTGCCAATATCTTGGATGTAAGACCTAACTTCTAGTGATCACACTCAGAAATTTCTAAACAGCGTTGGTAGGAGCTCTGATAACTTATCTTAATATTCTGTGACGTTCTTCAGGTCTAGAGGTATATCTTTTGAATAGATGTTGACAAGTAGAGCTAGCTACTTATTGATTCCAGGAATGTAATGCCGACTTCAATATTGGATTTTCTAACTTAATATATAATTAACCTGTGGAATTCGATTACTAGCTAGGTTTAATAAGTGACACATGCTGTCAATCACAGGTTGATCTTTAGACTGATAGTTTATTGGTCAGGGATAACCTAAATTTTTTTGCCTGTTAAGTATATTAATATTGCTTTTTAAAGTGATACGAAAAGCCACGTAAATCTTATTGTTACAGTTTAGTAAAAGATTGTTAAGGGTTGAAAATTTTTGAATGTCGCGGTGCATATGCAAACCATTTCTGTTTAAGGACTAAAGAAAACGTCAAACTATTACACGAAGACTCGAAGTTTAGACGCCTGATTCTGTTTGCAAAACAAACTAAATGGCGTAGATTTTTTTAAAGCAATAAAAAACTTTGTAATTTACGTTTCATCTGATCGGTCTGCATCTTTCCGGAAGTCTTTTTATACTGATACATAGGCACCCGTAGCCGTAATTACTTTACAAAGTACCTCGTGAAAAATGTAACACTTAACCTTGCCTTTGTTACACGATTTAGGATTATGGCCCAAAACTGATACGTGGAGTTAATAAATATGTCATTAAGTATTTTCCTTTTTCTTTGAACAAGTTAATCAGTTTAGGTTACTGAAAAGGTAATGACCTCATTATGAAACAGAGCTAGAATTCGGTGTTTGAAGCACAAGTCTTCAACTACTGAATTTCACCTTTCAATTGTAAATGAAGTAAGTAGTAAGTAGTAGTAAGTAGTACATCTAATTGTTGAGCAATAATTGTATGTACATGTTTACTTGATTGTAAAGCATTATACGTAAGTGTATTTGTCTGATAAGAGCTGTCGTCAACTACAGTGCATCGTAGTATCGTGCTATTTTCGCTTACTACACAAACTGAATGACAAACAAAATTTATTGAACACTTAGGATGATTATCTGGTCTGTATTAAAAATGTACTATATAGTAAATATAAAAAAAGATTCTTTTGGAAGAAAACCAGTTAACTATTCTAAAAACATACCACATTCACCATGTGCCGGAAGCAGCTTTCCTGATGGACCCATACAATAATGAATAGATCGATAATACGGTGTAATTATAACTTCTATGTGTTTAGTTGAGGATTTTCTTTCAATATTTCAGTTAAATAGCTTTTCCTCGACAGTAATTCATCATTTAATTTCCATTTTAACTGTCAAGCAAAATTAATCACAATTAAGAACTTGTCAATCGAATTATGTAGTTTTTCATGTGAATTATTTGTCTTTAAAGGGAAAATTCACTATTCTTTGTCCTGAGAAAGACAGAGTATCACTCATACACGCACTCATCTACCTTCTGTTTAGTTAAAACACCTAGGGATTGTTCTAGACCTTCTTTAACTTATTAAAACTTCATACTTTTGTCACTTCTGAGTACAGTTTATTAGTATAAAAGATTAGAATTTGAAATACCTTAATGAAAGCCACTTCTTTCGAAATAAACTTGATTAGTTGATATGATGTATCATCGTGGATAAATAAGAATATGTTATTCTCATAAGACAACTGTGTAAACTGCAATCACAATGAATTAATTAAATAGGTCTATACCTTTAAATAAACATAATTCTTGAAAAACTAAATCTCTTCTTAATTTTTATACCAATCACACTGGGATATCACTTATTTTAAGATTTTATGGAAAATTATGTCATTTTTCCGACTAGGTTCCGATTAACCACAATAATCCTAATAGTTCGTATTCTTTTATTCTGCTTGTACATAATTCTTTGTATTAGTAGTGATAAAGTATGAATACACGTGTTCGCTTTACTTAACTACTGAATTCAGTAATGTAGTCAGTCTGATATCTTTTACATTTTCTGTTGTCATAATAATTCCTTTTGACTTTTATAATTTGTTGTCATTAATTAGTTTCATGAAATGTATAAATTAAATTCAAAATGATCTTAAGCGATCGAAATTTAAATGATGTCAACCTTACACCCGGCTGACTGGTCTATACTTCTTCAGGGAAGCTGGGTATGTCCGTGGGAGACAGTTACGGATAACTCCGTCCAAATGAACGCTATAAACGTTTTGTATGTTTTTAAATACTACTTACAAGTAGGCTGGTACAGTCTTCAAAATTATTACTGGATATTTTCCGGTATTATTACTTATTGTTAGGTGAAATAAAAAGAATTGGTTGAAAAATGACTGGAACTAACTAACCTCTTGGAAAAGTTCAGAGGCCTGGAATGCGATGGATGTACCTGTCGAATTTACCGTATATTTTCTAAAATTGTCCAAAATAAATGTAAATTCAGTGTAGTGCGTAGCACGTGAATCATTCAAACTATTCATGCATAGAAAATCATTTAAATAAAAATTTATACAAAATGTTAAGTTCTGACATATAGATTGACTGAGTACTTCTAAATTCTCTAAAATATAATGTTTTGATTTTGCCATTTCTTTATCGGATGTTACATTAATACCAAATGTTGTTTGACAATCGCATGTGTTATTGTCAATTTGACATTTATGCAATAATGAGTATTTATCCATGTTCATATCTACTTTAATACCGACAATTTGATTCAGTATAGCTAAATTAATGAAAGTAATTTGATGTGAATAATAATAATGATCATTTATCTGGTTATTATTATCGATAATTTGTTTATGACACCATAACGTTGTTTGCCTCGATATCATAGCCCATATAGTTAAATATCCATGAATATCCCAGTTTGCATTAAAAAATGCTCTATGCGGTGATAATTGTCTACCATTGAACAACCATTCATAAACTACTGATTGATTATGAATTCTTCGATTATTATTATTGTTGTCCATACTCTCATATTCACATGGCAGTGTTACAATATGCCCAATTATTAAACGATGTTGATAATAAATAAAATTATCATTTGCTTTCAGAGTGGATTGAAATAGATCATGTTTAATTGGATATTGAGATTGAGACAATAAACCGACTTGCGTGAAATTTAAGTACAAAATCCAAGTAATATAAATCAAGATAACTAGTGTCTTCATACTTCTTTATTTCTTATTTGAAATGAATAGTAACCTAATTATTGTGCGAAATTCTCTTAATTCTAAAGAACAGTGAATATACATATCTAATATTGCAATTACGTAAACACGTGACTTCATTAAAAATATATGGATTTTCCATATTTTAAATGTAGTGAAGGATTTTATCACTTCACTCTACCGATAACGAATGAATAAATTCAACATTAAAAACCTTTTGATTCTGGATATGTGATAATTTTCCTTTCCACTAATAATGAGTAAAATATGAAAGATTATAAGATGAAAACTTCTATTAAATATCTAATATAAGACAATATGTAAATTAGGTTTTTATGGATGTGAATCTACTGAAAATGACTTTAACCAAAGTAGTATTATTTTTTCTTTATTGTTGATTACAATTTGTCAATGAAGATTACAGTGTAATCATCAAAACCAAACGACTGATTTTTAAGTGAGTTTTGTTTGATTTTATAGTGGTCGGATGTTGGTTCATTTCTCTGAGAGAGAGAGAGAGGGAAAGAGGGAGGGAGTATATACTTTTTAAATGAGGATTATAAACAAATATTAAGTCTAAGTTAAAGACTTCAGATTAAACTCCTATAGCTGTTCACAATTAAGTTTACTTGTTTGATTGATGACAATATTTGATTGGCATGTTCATATTACTTAATAATTGTCACATACCTTCGCGTTTGGTGTAATAAAGCCCCGATAATTTGATATTAGCACAATTAATATTCATTATTTTGAATACATTTAGTCATTTGGAATAGTTCTTCCTGAAGCAATGTAATACATTGCTGCTTTTTAAAACTTTAACGGAATGTGGATAGATTGTAAATAATTGGGTTTCTATGACCAAATGAACAGCAGAAAATTAGTGAGAACTCTGTTATCCACACTAGTCCAACAGATTTTATGATTAAAGCAAACATTTTAATAATAATGAGTATTTTAGAATTTATTCGGATTCAGAGAATAATGAAGTAGTTAATGAAACTTATCCAGATAAATCTAAAAGTTCCAAGAAAACCTTTTGTCTTATACTTGATTGCTACTCAAAATTTAAAAGCACCAGGAAAAGTGAAATCACTAGAAAAATGAATGTCCGATGTTCATTGGGTTTTTATATTATTTCCCCACAAATCATTGTATTACATGAATTTTCTGACGATGCGGAAAACGGATTAACCTATAAGAGCTGATGCTAATACTGAAGCTATCATAAGTAGTAGATATTTGTGCGTTAGACCATACGAACCAAAATTATACTCATGATCTGGATAGCATAAAATAGCGAATGTAGGACAATATTCAGGGCCATTTTAAACATACGTTATTCTTAGATACTAACCAGTCATTATATCTGTTGATTCCGAAAATAAATACTATAAAAATGAATTACATGCTGAGAGAATTTAATCGATAATAGTTGTTCAAAAACTCTTGCCTGTTGTTATCGGGTGAATAAATTCTGCATTACTAATCCTGCATAAATAAATTCTGATAGCAGAACAGCTCACCATAGTTATTCTCACTACATATAGCAATAATGAACAGAAGATAACCTGAGAAAATTGGTTAGTTTATTGATAAAATCTTTTGACATTAAACTAGTTATCTTACCAGGACAATTTATTCAGATTATTCAACGACTTTTTTGCTTACAAGATTACTTACGTTATGATAAACGGTAATCCTTCAATATTATAATGTTCAATGATTTTCATCATTGTTCTTTCGTCGACATGATTCGAAACACATTCGTATGCAAAATATCAGAGTTAAACACTTCAAAAATGATTGTTTTGACATAGGGTTTAAATAATCTGCTTTATATATATATATATATATATAAGATTGAGCAGAATAATTTATTCACTGTTTCAGTAATTCATCACTAGTAACCTACATATTTGTTAACTTTGGTTAAATCATCATTAAATACCTCTGTATGTTTCAAGAATAAGAAGTGCTCTAAGTGAAACTAGAATATATTTAACTAACTTAAACCAATAAATATCGATGAGTATAAGATATTACTTTCAAGATAATACTAATTACAACTTTCTAAATTGAAAGATTTTGTCAGCAAATTAGTCTTTTTGCTTTAGCTCTATGATTATTCTTTTCTTATTAAATTCCAGCTGTGTATGAATTTCAAAATAGATTATGAATGATTTAGGAGGTAAACTGTCTTTTGTTGAACTTGGTAAACTCAAACATCTGTAACATTTAGTTGTCTAATTGATTTTAATTCAACTTAATGATACCACTATAGTTGACTGTATTTCAAATATTATGTCATCTTTAGTTTTCGGTTTATGAGAATCTATAAATCTAACGATAAATTCATCTAGAGCTACATAATTTGCTTGATTTCTGAAAACTATTCTTGCACTAATAAAATCGTTTTGTCGGTAGCCTATTTACCTAGAAAAGCGACAAATCCTTCAATGAGGATTAAACAACTATTTCAGCTGTTTAGAAAATCTTAGTAGGCCATGACTTTGAACCTAAAAATATGACTGAAACTAGGAATTTCAGTATTCAGTGAGTTTAGTTCATCATTCATGTGACTGGAAAATTTCAGTCTGTAGCACTGTGTTTACTTATTTTCGCTGTACAATTTTCATTGATTTTCTACGTGATATTCGTTTGTGCGGTGTTTGTATGAACTAATGATTCCCTTGTACTTGATGGCTGCCTGATATCGAATTCTAAATATATAATACGTTTGTTCGTGCTCATATAATACTTCTTGGTTAAATTGCGTTATGTCTGTAATTCCTATCTTGTACTGTAATTCAAATATTTCGAACTATCACATTGGCGTCGCGTTGGTGCTTGCGATAGAACAATTGAACATACATTCAGATTTTGATGCTTTTGAGTATTACATGGAAAGGCTCGAAGTGTGGACTATGACCAAGTAAGATGTTGAGGATGTCAATATTGTGTCACATTTCCTTACATTCATCGAAAAAGAAGCATACGGCTTATTAAAAATTGGCATTTCTGGAAAGTCCTATTTCACTATTTTATGCAACTCTTGGGGGACTACTATAAAATCATGTAAAGTTCACCAGTTTTAAATGTCGTGAGAGAACAAAATTTCATAAGATGATTGGTCAGAATAACCAAAAGGTTAGGGAACTCATCCTTGAAATATAGAAACAAGTTGCCAACTGCAATTTTGGTGACCAACTTCATGTACAGCTGAAGGATCGATTAATTGCAGAAATTAATATACCAGATCTGAAAAGAGAGCTGTTAAGAATGCCGAACTGTTCTTTTCAGGATGCTAGAACTACATGTATTAACTACGAATCAGTGAATGAACTTGATACCCAGTCGATGAAAATTTCTAATGCTTTTCTCAGTCGTCATAATGAAATACGATCTCAGGATCAATCAAACTTGCGTTTATTTAATAGTAACTCCTATTCTCGTGGAAATATGAAATTAGATCAATAAGGAATTGCAAAGCAAACTACAAGGGTGAGAGCGAGTTTGGTAAATGTTTATCCTGTGGCAAATTTCATTCACGTAATTCATGTGCATCTCGTAATGTTAAATGTATTAAATGTGGTAAGATAGGACACATTCAGTCAGTATGCAAAACTACTGTTCATTTTACTTCAAGTCGTATTAAACCTTGTAATTTAGATCCCATTAAGTCGGCTGCTCCTAATGATCATTTATCTTTATCCACCATTTTTAAAGGTAATGTTCATATTCAAAAGCGATAATACACGTCGCTTGATTCATTTCATGACCTTTTTGTGGAAACAGGCAGTATGGAGTTCATTATTTCATTCAACAACTTAAAATCTTTGGGTCTTAACGTTGTGATACGACTAACTGTAGTTTCAATATTGGGGATTACTGGACACAAACTGCCCATACGAGGATGCTGTGAATTGATAATAAGAGATGATATTTTTTCATACATAGCCTGTGAGTTTTTAGTTAGCGAAACAGAACTGTCAATATTGGGTTTGAAAAATTTGAAAAGACTTAAAGTGGAGTTATCTTTACTAGTTTCTAAAGAAAATTCTGATGCTTTACTTAAAGATATGATAGCTACGTGTGCTGAGTGTAATGTAGGTATGAAATTTCGTCCTATAAAACTTTGAGTGCAGGGTGATCGAGTCATTTTTCAAAGACGTATATTTCCATATGGTCTTTGAGAAAACAGTACATAAGACATTGAACGATTTATGTGCGAAAGGTATAATTGAACCGATTCTATCTTATTGTTACACCACTGAAGTCGAATAGCAAGACCCTTGGAATATGTGGTGACCATATATTAATACTGAACTCCCGTTTGTTGAAGCAAACATGCACGACGGTGGAGGCTGAAGGTATTTGAAATCGACTTCATGGTTCTAAAGTGTTCACGAAAATTGACTTAAAAGTTGCTTATCTCCAAATCCCTTTAGATCAATCTTCATCTATTTTGACGACAATTAACACCTTTTGGTACGTTCAAATACATCTTCCTTCCATTTGGTCTAAGTTTTTCTCCAACTTCGAAGTGGACTACATGGCCAGTATCGTCTGAGGTCTGGCAGAGAATTCATACAGACTATTGTGGTCCATTTCTTGACAAATACTATACACTTGCAGTCAGTGATTCTTTTTCCAAGTGACCTGAAGTTTTTTTCAAAACTTCGCCAAACTTTGACCTCACAATCCAAGCATTAATAAGGGTTTTTAGTCAAGAAGAGGTTCCTAAGGTGTTAGTGACTGATAATGGCTCTCATTTTGCTACGGATGCAGTCACTACCTAGTTGAATGGTATAGGGTGAGGCCGAAACCTTCAGTTTTCTTTTTCTAGGATTCTCTCAGAGCTGGATGGATTATTTTTTCTCGGAATTATGGAAGATAACTCAATTCTGAACTATCAACATATAAACTGTGAATTTCATGCTATATGATAGGACCTGAGTTTAACTTATTCATGGTATTTATGATCATTTTCATACAAGAATTCATCATCATATAATTACATAAATTCATTTTGGCTATACATAGAACCGTGCT